AATCTTTAATGCCCATATCAATTTTCAAATTTATTTTCAAGAATTAAAAAATCATACCGTCGTTCTATTTTTGCCCAATCAATTTCTCATGTTCCATATTCTCAATTAGACAGACAGTTCTCAAGATCTTCATAATATTTCAAAAAAAAAATTCGCGCTTATATCATGAAAATATTAAACATTTTATTTATATTGGTTTCACTTGTCTTGATTATGAATAATTTATAACATCTTAATTAATTTTCATTGATTTTAGATACTAAGTTTCTTCGGAAAACTTATTGTTTGTCTAGGATTTCTTTTAGAATTACTTTTTTTAGAACTTGACCATCTTCAATATTGCTCCTTTTCCTTTTCTAGGAAAAGAGCAACTATTGAAGATGGTTCAAGTCTCTACCACTCTTGGAACCGATCAGTCTACCACGTTTTAGCGTGCCTTAGAACTCATATAGCATAAACATTTGTCCTTTAAAAACTTTAAATGCTGAAGGAGATTTACAGTAGTTGTAGATTAATTATCTCTTTGAATCAGAAAAATATTATGGCAAATCAAATTTGCAAATGATTATCTTTTAAAATTTTAAATGTCACACTCATCCTTTATATGAGATCAAGATATAATAACGATATATTCTTTTTCGATCAATTTATCTTCTATAGCTACTTATTTTCTCGCTAAGTCAGCGATCTATAATAATTAGCAAATTGACGTATAAAGTAACTTTCCTTTATTTTGAAATTCTAGAAGATATATGTATAATTCATACCAAACATATTTTCAATATTGTTTGAGATCCATCTTAGTGCATTGTGGTGGAAGAAAAATTTAACATACGCCGCACATTCAAAATTTCATAGAGAATAATATTGGTTCTTGATCTTAAACCATTTAAGAGGAAAACGTATATAACTTATTATTCTGATGCTGAGTATGTGTACTATTATCAATAGTATATGCTGCTCTACAAAAATAAGGATGCTTTATTCTCCATATATAATTGTTTGCAATAATTGCAATGATTATAAATGATTCTACTAAATCATTTTTGAGCATAATAAAATCAAACCAACAGGTGCCCTAAAATTTATTTTCAATTAAACACATGCTACAATCATAAAAGCCGATGTGTAATTCACTATTATTCAAAATTAAATTGATTGTAATAGTTTTTTTAAATTTTTGTTTCTTGAAAAAAAAAAATTTGTTCTTAATTAAAGTATTTATGCAAATAATCATACAAGCCTCTAGCTTACTGTTGATAATAATCTTTGTCAACTTCATTGCGCAAGTAATAAAATAATGTAACAATATTTTGAATTATGCAAATATATCCCAAATAAATTGATCAATAGTTATACTTATCTATTCCGGAATACAAAACAGTTTCAATTTGAAACTCTTGCATGATGACTCAAATAATTAATTGCTTTGAAAAACAAACTAAACAATGAAAAATTTTATTACAGCTGAAAGAAACTTTTGGTTCTCAATAAATATTTCATATAAAGATAAAATGTTCCTTTTCGCATCAATTATGATCGAGAATGTCCAATCCGAAACATGCTAAATAATAAAAATACTTAATTATAAAACTTACGTTTTATAATATCATACTTATTTAATCATATCTCTTATATGATATCCATTTGATGAATATCTTTGGATGATTGTATTTATGCATAAAATCATCATCCTTTAGCAGTATATTTATTTCTCCAAAGCTTTTAAATACTCTTAATCAAAGCCAAACTTATTTTCAATATTTTGTGCTATAATAAGACATAATCAAATATATCCATATATGCTACAGTATTTGTACCACTTTCTAGCTGGTTATAAATCTTTAAATTATGGAGGCCACCATAATTATTAGATCATTACTTGCAATTGCGGTCTATTGATACCTCAATGACAATATTTGTTTTCATTTTTCATGTCACACCTAATATTATATATATGCATTACACTCAGAGAATGCAATCTAGTTGGGGATTTAACTACTTCCCATGTTTAATATTATTAATGTCATCCATGCACTTCAAGAAATGGAGAAAATCTAATTGATCTAACTCAATGATATAAATTAGAGCTCAATAATAAAAGACATGAATTAAATCCAAGTTTATGATAGAAACTTTTTCTCCGATAACTATTTCGGGAGGATATTTGAGGGTATAAATACATTTCACTTTTAGATTAATGCATCAATTAGTTTGGCTGGATTTCATGACTCTCATGTTAAATATTATGTGGATTCCATGCGCTTTAGAAAATGGATAAATTCTATGCGACAAAACTTCATTATATATTAGGAGCTCAATAATTAAAAGGACTGAATAAACCAACAGTTACATAAAACTTTTTTTCTCGATATTGCTACTTCGTGAGCATTTATTCGAGTAAATATCAAACAATTTAGATCAAGAAGGCTAATATGAGCTCCAAACATACATAAACAATAAAATATCTTAATTATATTAAAAAACATCCATAATCTCAAAAATTTTACCATAGGGAGGATAAATATTAGTAATTATACAATAATAATATAACATACAGATCAATAATCTCATATTGCAAAATTTAAAAGAAACTTACAGTTTTGTAAGCTTTCAATGATAAATGCATCAATTCATGACGACTTGAAATTGTACCTTCCTTCAAAAGCATCCCCAAAAACACAGCAATATTAATTATAAACTATTCAATAAAAAAAAAAATATCCTTTGCAATAGTTCATTAATCTTATTTCTATCCTTGACCCAAGATCCATAACCATTTAGTATTCTGATAAATAATTTATGTTATTATATTAGACGTATAAAAGTCAAGTTCATAGCATTTGACCCAAAATAAGAATAATTAAATAAATAATAAAATAACCTCAACAAATGAAAACTTTAAAAACAAAATTACTATAAAACAAAAAACTATTGAATAAAAAGTTCAAAATTAACATACTCTCTCAGTATCCATTTTGTTGCTTGCTTTTTTTTTTTTGAGGTCATACAAAGTAATTGCAACAATTTTTTTAAATTTTAAATGTAAACAATTATCTTATTTATATAACTTTATATAATATATTATAAATGAAAAGTATATATATCTAATGATTATTAAGGATAAAAAAAAGACAAAACTAACTTTTATTGACTAAATTTTTATTATATACATTTTGCTCAACAACTATATAAAATAAAACATGACCATAAGGAGTATCAAATAATACTAGCAGACGCCAATAATTTTGATCCGCAACGAAGTAACTGCATCAATATTAGAAATTCTCTCTTAAATCAATTAAATTCTATGCAGTTAATCATCATGATGAAAGCCAACTAGCTTCCACGCTCTATCAATCTGCAGATTCGCAAAAACAAGACAAAGCTTTGAATAATAAAAAAATATAGTAATTATGATTATAGAACACCAAATCCACAAACATTACATATCAAATTCTTTTCTTCAATTCTGATGGCACTACGCGTGCCATCATTAGAGTAGAAACAAATCACAACATACGTATAACGTTAAACAACTATTAACTATATTTAAGTAATAATTATATACAAAATAAGTATGAATTAAATAGTTCAATACTAAGATAATAACATTAATACTATTAAAATATTTAGTTTTCCAATCATAATATAGAAAAATAAAAAAAAAATTTAAATTAAAAAAAGAAAAAATTATATGCTGAAACAAATATTCATAAATTTGAATTATAACATATTCATTTATTATCCTAAAAATTTTATTTAAATTAAAAAATTGAATATAATTAATAACAAATATATTTCAAATATTGTAAATACATTTTTCACAGTCGAGATATAAAAATTAAATGTATTTAGACAAAGCTAAAAAATGTTGGCCCGTGGCACGCCGCTTAAACGGACTTTAAGCTTCAACTACCTCTCCCTTCCGTCCAATTCGCTCTAATGGCTGCCTTTCCGTATGTCCCTCCGGCACCACTCTTCTAACAAAATCCGTCTCGCATTTCTTCTCTCTGCGTCTCAAAATCCTTCATATTCTCATCCAACACTCAAAACAATTTCCACTATCCATTTCATAACTATTCTGCTTCATACATCCAGTTCTGCTCTCCACCATTATCTCTCATATCAGTTATTCAGCAGCAACAGCACTTCACTTGGTGACACGTCGAAAAAAGTTTCCAACCTGATATGTCCCTAACATCCTGGATCTCTCTGCTTCTTCGAAAATCCAATTCTGCAAATCGGCTTTACTACCCCTATTCTTTTTGGTTCTAAGAAAGTGCAATTCGGTCTTATTTTGAGATTGTAAGTTTGCAGGAAATGCCAATATCTGAGTTTATTCATTTCATACTTGAAGATGAAAATTGTTGGTTATGTACATTAGGTAACTTCTTTCTTCTTTTTCTGTTCGTTCTTCCTGTTTCAAATTTCTATGCCAATCCAATTATATGATTTAAGTCGCTTTGAAACTTTTGATGTGCAGTTTTTTGACCAGTTGAGGAGGTTCAAGATGTATTTCTTTCCTCAAAGTAATTCTCATGAGGCCGTTTGAGACTATGTAATTAAATGAAAGGCTTAAAACGCCAGAGATAGGACTATAGTTTGGATAAGTTATTAAATGCTATAAGGGAAGAAGAATTATTCCAGGTATACCGAAATGAGTCACCATTGCTATCCAATCATACATCCCCCTGTAATCCATTTTTCTTCTTTTAGTATTTATATTAAAAATTAGAGTTGACATTTTAATTTATGATTATCGCACTATGGATAATTTAACATTTCTGGAGAATGTTTAGTTTCAGCCTTCATTCCAAAAGTTATGTTATATGATGCTATTATTTTACTGGTTGATCAGCATACCCTGTGGTGATTCATCCTTGTATCGCCGTCTTTTTTCCATTGGAACGTGCTGCAGCTCCTTATTTGAATAAAGTATGTTAGTAGGCTTGTATACTTGATGTTTCTGTGAATTGCTATTTCTTAATCTTTGACACATGAATGGCTTTGTTGAAAGGGATGGGGAGAAATTTCTATGGATAGCAAAGAGAAGTGAAGCGAAACCCACTTATCCAGGGATGCTTGATCATCTTGTTGCTGGAGGAAATGTTTGTAACTACCTATCAATTTTACTCTCTCATATCTGTATTCGACTTTTGAATTTTTGAAGGATATTGTCTCTTACCTCTTCTGGAGGTTTTCTTTAAATTTTTGTGGTCTTTTTGATGTCTTAACGTTCTTTGAAAGACAGTCATTTTTTAATCAAGCAATGAAGCATGCTTAGTTGTTTTAGTGAGATTAAGATAAAAGGCTCCCAAAATTCTAATTTACAGCATATTATCTAATAATTAATAGTTTATGATTAGAAAGCTCAAAGTACTAAAATGACAAAGCTTTTGTGAACCATGAGATCTTAAAGTTGAACTGAGCTTTCAGCATGTAATGCCTGTGTTAAGCCTCATGAAGTTTAGAAGTGAGAAGAATTCTTTGTTACTATATATTGTAGGGCCATATATTGGATGGAAACTGGATGAAACAGTCTGATTTAGACCGCTCTCTTGCCTTTTGGTATAAAAAGATTAATTTTAAGACTGCCCTATATATTTTTCCCTTTATTTCTAAGACTCTTACATATTATTTCCATTACGGCAATGGCAGCCACATGGGATCTCTTGTGGAGAGAATATCATAAAGGAATGTGAAGAGGAAGCAGGAATACCTCTATCTATTTCCCATAAGTAAGTTTTCTCTAGCCATGAATTATCAAGCATGTTTCATACGTCCAGCATGCCTTGTATTGTATTGTATTGTATTGTATTGGCTAGGGAAATCCATGGGGTGGCAGATTTGTATCTAGAGTTGTACATGATTCTGTTGCTATTCTCTTTCTTTCTGATGGGTTCACAATTGTTTTTTCTGGCAGAGCCATACCAGTCGGTGCTGTTTCTTACATGGATATTGAAGGTTATAGATATAAGAGAGATGTTCTATTTTGCTATGATCTAAAACTTCCTGAAAGTTTTATACCAAAGAATCAAGGTAAAGCTGTTGAATCTCTTCTTGCGTTCGGTCAGTTATAATTATATGTTGGTATCCTTGAACATTTTTGCTTCTAAATTTGATATTTTGAGTATTTCATCCTCCTGCAAAATGTTTCTCTGCCATCTTTCCAAATCCTCTATGATGCTGTTGAATTGTTGCAGATGGAGAAGTGGAGAGTTTCAATTTAATGCCTGTGAAATATGTCGGTAATGTTGTACGGAGGACACATTTTTACAAGCCGAATTGCTCTCTTGTCATCATCGATTTCCTATTTCGGCATGGGTATTCATTCTCTATTGTTGATGCTGTTTGTTTTCGAATCTTTTGACCCTCTTGATTTGACATTTTCAAATATAATTGAGTAATTTAACCTCAAAGATAGCAGTAACCTATTTATTAACAGTATTTATCCATCCATGCCACAAAAATAATCATTTTCTACATGAAATTATGCTAGTTCCAGGTCAGCGTCATCCTCTTTCCTTCATGAACAAGAAACTCTAACCTATTTCTAGAACGTGTTAGGACCAGAAAGTCAATTGGAATAAGAACTATTGCCTTTCATATTTAATGGCCCTCCCAACTGGGCAAGAGTTCAGCCAGCGTTTCTGCCTCCATATGTAAAAAAAATCATTGCCTACCATCCTTTTGAGAAGCCCCAAGCTTGAACTCAAAGCTTCCATTATGGCAAATACGTATGGTTGAAGAGAAGCCTGCTATAGACTTGAGTAATTTTATGGCAGAGCAAAAATCTATCAATGACATTGTTTTTGACACATACTCCAGTTGCAGGAGTTCAATTTTCCTCGTTTTTCCACTAACATGTTCATTGTAAATCACACGGAAACTTGCTTGAGTTTACTCATTCTTTTTTATCTTAGATTGTTCGACCTTGTTATGGAAAGGTTGAAGAGGGAGCAAGTCTCTATGTGTAATTATAATCCATTTCATTTAGACCTACATAAATTGTGAAGGTGATCAAATCAAAATCTATCTTAGTAACCCCTCACCGTTGCTGCTCATTACTGGGCTTATCATTGTTACGTTTGGAAAACGATTACTATAGGCATGACTTAAGTGAGTGCCTCCGAAGTTTTCCCCGTTTTAAACTTTTAATTAGGTCAGCGCTTGTTTATCGCATTATAACTTTTTGAGAGATGGACTTGTCAAGTTAAAATTACCAAATAATACACTCATTTATATTAATGTGATTTTCCTTTTAGAATTCTAATTCACTTGCTTTTATTGCAGGTACATTACTCCCGAATGCTCTGGGTACTTGGATCTACTACAAAGTTTGAGGAGTGGAGATTGCTCCTAGAAATATCAGATTGGAATCACTTTGGATGAGTCACATTTTCTAATTGCAATACACCCCTTTGTCTGAAATTTTTTGTATGACTAGCAAAACATGCCATTCTGGCATCACATGAATGCTGAGGATGCCTACATTAGACACTTGATATACATGTCACATATCCCATCGCTTCTTCAAAGTATAATCACAATGAGAGACATTTGCCTTCAGGCTTTAGCTTTATCTATTTTTACGTCTTCAATCAGCCTAAATGCAGTGAGAGGTGACTGATGCTGTCTTTCTATGCTGCTATAAAGCGACAGAATTTTTCGACTTAAGCCTTCACCTCTCTTTGAATAACTTGCAGATTATGATCTGTATGGCTAAACATGTTTAAAGGGCACTAACCAATGGTGGTTAACAAAGTAGCTTGGAATCATCTTCTCATTTTCCTCAATATTTTTTTTTGTAATGGAAATTATTTTTCAGCTGGTAAATCACTTTAAAGTTAGGTCGAGAAATGTTCTTTTCATTGGAGCAGGGCATCACTCCATTGAAGTAACTTGTAATGGCAAAAAACAAGCTTATAATGGGAAAAAGTAACGGTAGGGCTTCAAGAACAGGCGTCTTCCACAGACTTGAGCTACAGAAAAGATAAAACATAAACACGTCCATTGAACATTCTCCTGCTTTAATGACACTTCCTTGAACAGTACGGATTACAATTGGACAGATGAAAATAAAAACCTAGTTTGGGTCCACTCACAAATCCAGCAATCACTAGAATTTTTGTGGAGTGGCAACCACAACGACCAACATTATTTTAAGGTTCGTCTACAATAGCAGCAGCAGCGATACTATTCCATAATGTCTCTCCAATGCTTCTGTTATCCAAGCGAAGTAGGATATAATTTCACGTGGAACACTCACACAGTCAACTCCTCAACCTCTGGGCTAAGTGGTCTGAAGAGAGAATCCACTTCATTTTGATCAACTTCTTCCAAACTTGGGGGATTCCACCTTGGATTCTGTAATTCCATGGTTAGTAATACCATTAGACCAAATAATCCAACACAATATGACAAACTGAAGGGCAAGGAATGCACATTTTAACGTTTCAGTCTTTCAGATAACATAAAGGATTTTTTAAACCATTGATGGTGAGAGAGGAGGAGAAGACAGTCCCATTTCAATACTATGATAGCAGCAGCAGAAAATAAAAAGAAAATTTATTGAGAAAAAGGGAAAACTTTATTTGATTAGTCTGTATGGAGAGGACCAGACTCCTTATAACTCTGATTAATACTTCAATAATGATGAAATAAAGAACAAGAAAACAAAATATACATACTGACAGGAAAGCAAATCAAATCCTAAAGTAATTGGGAAAGTGGGGAAGCGGATAAGTGAACTGCAGCAGAAAAACCAGGCACGTGAAGCAGTTTCTATACTTTGAGAAATTCCAGCAACTAATTAATTCCATCTTCTCTAACAGTTTTGACTTCTTCCAAACGCTATAAACCCATGTGCAAAGCACTTGAGGAGTTAAATTTCTTTCTTGAATAAGTTTTCAGAGGCGGGTTTGTATCATACTAGCACTGAACCCTATTTTTGTCTCCACTAAGCTAACTAGTGAATTGTAATTTTGCTAGTGTCTCTTAACTAAAATCCAATAATGTGAACCACTTACGGAATTTTATTTAATAATTGCTACATTATATCGCAGTAGTAAGTCGGACAAAGATAGAAATTAGTAAGCTAGCTACTAGTAGCAGAATCGAGTTTCAATTCCACCACTCCAAAACATAGTTACAAAATTGTACCATAGAAAAGAAATACAGAGAATAGAACCTGATCCTTGTCCACCAAGACTGCCCTGACCCCTTCAGCAAAATCATTTCGCAGAGAAGATCTTAGGGCAATGCGATATTCTGTTTTCATCACGCCATTTAACTGGATGCAACAAATTGCCAGCAGAGCACAGAGATCACTTTGTGAACTATGCATTGTTTGGAATAGGAATTTATAGCAAAATAAAGATGGTGAAAATCATAGCTGCAAGCTCACAGTGAATAGTTCATTGTCGGGTTTTCCATAGGCAGATGCAACTTTGGAGAAATAATTTTGTGTCAAGGAAAGAGAAAAAGGAGCGCCCTTTCCAATTCCCTGAAGTGCATCATTAGCCCACTCCACCACTGTGAAAAGAGATGATAAAAGATTACAGTGGAGTAGAAAAGGGGAGGTTGGGGAGAGAAAATCAAAAGAAGTTAATCCAGACCACAGGTTACTATCAAAAACAAGAAATAGGGGGTTTAATGCCACCAAAAATCAAAGGTTTAGCTCATTTATAGACTAATTATCTAACCTTTGGCATCACCACTCTGTTGATGTTTTTTCAGGTCTTCAATAATCTCACTCACTGACTTATTTGCGCCAAAGGTTGAGATTATTCGAGGCAAAAGCAACTTCAATTCAGCTTCTGACTCTGGTTCACTACTGTACTTTGCTAAAAGTGCTTTGATATCATCATGCGGATCCTGGGAACTGTATTCAAATAGTATATACTTCTTTAATGAGAACTTTGACATTGATTCCTTCATTATTTAGAACCAAATCAATGCAGTAGTAATATCAATGCAAGGTGTTCTTCCCCTTCTAATTATTTTGGTGAATTGCTATTATTTATAATGATTTATGACAGTTAAAAGAATAACTATTACTAAAGCAGTTCTGCATAAATACTGTTACTTTTCACCAAGATTAAAATGAAAGGAAAGGTTCTGCAGGATGTACAAGGTAGTTGACAAAAGGGCCTCCTTCAACGAGGCTAAATTCCCAGAAGGCACATAATGTGATCCAAGACCTACAAATAGTGCATCTGAGGGTGTAGAAATCCTCTTGCCAGTCAATCCAAGATAAGCACCTGCGTCAGATAAAATATATCAAGGACAAGAATATGATAAACTGTTCTGCAGAGATGCTAGTTATCAATATAAATACAAATGCCTATTCTATAAACTGTCAGCCAAAGTGACAAAAAGTTAACCATCAATTCCCGTATAAGATAACTAGGCTAGTCAACAGGATCTTATAACTCTTCAGAAATAGAAAGCACTAGATAGGCACCATAAATTTGATCTCAAATTATGATCATTTTTTCTTTTCATTTTTGAGTGTGGAATGTTTAAAAATTTCTTTCCAGAAAACCATACAAATTACAATAACTATATTAGGTTACTTTGCTACCATGCCCTCGTTCCACCCACCCCATAAAAAAACCACCATATCAAGTGTCGGTCCTTTTAAAACGAATTCCCAATCTATATGTGTCAAGAAGAGAGCAAACGCCAGATTCTAGTTCAACAAAGGAAATTAAACACTTTTCATAACCCTATGAACTTAGGTACAAGTGTTGTGCGAATATGTAAGTCTTACGCTTTGCGCTTTTTGCCCATACAGTTAGTGGATTAGCAAGAACTATTTTCTTCCAGCATAGGATGGTATAAGAAAGGAGGTTTCCTAGTTGGGGCTTTTCATCTAAAGCGAACAGGATGAAAAATGATTTGGAAATTTCTTCCATTTTATTTGTGTAAAACTCAGCTCCCCTCATCAGAATCATAGAGAAGCTTCACATACAATAGATGATGAATAAGAACAACAGACATAAAAACCATACCAACTGATCCTTCTCCTGGACTATGTGCAGCTATATAGGAAAACCCAACATCTGGGAACAAGCCAATTCCATTTTCTGGCATCGCGAGAACAGTTCTCTGCACATCAGTGCACAGAGTATACAAGTTAGTGTAGCAATTTAAGATTGCATTCTTAAAAATCATAAGATTTATAGGACATCCATTTAACTGGTATTGTACCTCTGTTACAATCCGGTAGCGACCATGACCAGAAAGGCCAATTCCAAAACCCATTGTTATGCCATCCATAAAGGATATATATGGTTTCTTGTAATCAGAAATTTTGCATATTAGAGAATATTCCGCAGTAAATACCTGACAGACAAAGGAGCGCGAGGCATATTTAGTTTACTTAAAAAATAAAAAAATTAAAAAAGAACTCGATGCAAAATTTTTAGAAGCCAACTCAATATATAAAAAGAGCCAAGCAGCCAACAAATACATAACAATTCAAAATAGACGTGGGACTAGAAACTCAATTCAATGCAGCCAAAGTAAAAGTGCTAAACTAAGTTTTCCATGAAAACTGCTGTATATGTCATTTACTGATTTACTAAATAACTACTTCATTATAAAATAATCACTCTAAAGTCAGATTGCATATATACAGATTTTTCCACATTTTTATTTCAATCCTTCCTATGCAATAACGAAACAGCGGGTGTTGACCACTGACATTATCAATCCAATACTAATTAGTTTATCAAACAAAAAGGGAAATATACAAAAGAAAGCATGCAGAAACAGAAACAAAAAGATAGCAATTGATGCAAATAGAAAGAAAGAAAAGAAAACATCAATTAGAATTCCACAGTACTTGCAAGTTACTATTAATATTGCAGGAAGCATTACTTAATTCTATGTAGATTGTTGGTCCTATATATGTGTTCAGCTGAGCATAAGCCTTGACACAACCACCAAATTATTCTTCTTTGATTTGAGAACGAAAAACAGGTTAAGCAATAAAATAGATAAAATGGTTCATTGAGTCACAATGTGATCCTCCTTTTTTGTTTTTCATGGATAACCATTGGAGACACTTAGAAATCTTGATATATTAACTCTTGGAAGTCATACCTAATTGATGTCATCCAAACTATAGGGAGAGAAGTTGACAGCCTGACACTACTGTTTACCACAATAGAAAGTAGTAACATGAAAGTTGATCAAATGATGAATTAGAATTTTATACATAGACTTTGACAGCATGAGCAATAGAGGCAATATGGCAAGGAAGCCAACTTGTTTCAAACAAACATAGTGTGTAAGTTTATGAGACAGTGATATAACTAAAAGAACACAACAAGACCTCAATCATATCCGAGAGATGTTTTTTGGTGGTTATTGTCTTCACATCACCACCTGCATATAAACTAGGACCTCAGTACTCAATTAGACAAGCACTGAAAGAATGAATCAAACAACCATAAACTGAATAGGGGAAAAGTACATATAGATAGCGCATAGTTGGTAACAGCACAGAAACACAGAATAAATATAAAGAACCATATTCAGATAAGAAACAGAGCAAAAAAGTGCAAAAGCACCTTCTGCACAAGAGGTGTATTTTTGTCCTTTTGAATTTCAGCAACAACCCCTTTAATATCCATTCCTGCATAAGACATTGATGATTACCCTCAAAACGTTCCCTTACACTCGATAACCCACACAACAAAGAAAAACAAAAATTACTAAAGACAAATGATATTAATAATAATAATAATAATAATAATTTACGCTTTCAGTTCAATGAAACAAACTTAAGAGAAGCTCTATTTCTAATACTACAGATTATCGGATAAAGGGGGGAAAAACAGGACTTCCCACTATATATTACCTGCGCAAAATGCACGAGGAGCGCTGCCTTCAACCAGAACACATTTAACCTTTGGATCGGATTCCCATTCGTCGAGAAAATTTTTGTATTTGACGTCCATATCTACATCATAAGAAGGTTACATGTTCATATTCGAAGTAAAACCAAAAACCAAAACCAAGCAAAAACGATGACCAAGAAACAGAAGATTCCTGATTTCCTTCTATTATTTGGAAATTCGAATATCCAATTCAAGCCCTAACCTCATAACAACACCAAGCTAAGCCTAAATACTCAAAATTGGATCCAAAACCATCCATTTGATATATTTTTCATTGATAAATGAAACTTCAAAATTAAAATAAAAATGAAAATAAATTAGAGAGAGAGAGAGAGAGAGAGAGAGGAATCACCTAAGTTCATGGCATTGAGAGCTTTGGGGCGATCGAGAGTGATGACAGCAACGCCGTTTGGATAAACATTTCCTTTAACGAAATCTTCAGAAGCAGAAGCCATGATCGCGAAGCTGCGATAGGACAGAGAGGACTTGCAATGGAGAGGAACGTTGAGAGAATTCAATGGCAGAGTGTGAGGAGTAAAAATAATTTTTGACTTGAAAAGGAGAACTGATGCTGAGAGTAAGCTTTTCATTTTTGTGCAAGTAAAAAATCAGTGTCACAGATTTTCTGTGAGAAATGTATTTCTGAAGTTGGACCGGTTTACAGTTTACCCATAAGATGATTATATTTGAATTTAATGGGCTTTCGTGTTTTTAATTAGGCCCAACTCCTATTGGACCTTTGAGTCAACTAATTTACCTACGACCTGGTTATTAGTTTTGTTGCCGTCATCAAATCGGCAGGTCGTCCCCCTTGCAGAAATTTGTCAGTGCCACACCGTCTGGTGGCTTTGTTTTGTTGTTTATGGCTGTCTCCGTATTATTTATGGTGTTCTGTCGTGGTCGTCACTGACTTCTGAGGACGGACACAGCTTGAACACCGTCGTTCATTCATTCACTCACTGCTCCGGAAGAACAATGGGGAGTAAAACCTATATAGCTTAAACACAAATAAAAAGCCCAACTATTTTTTATGGTTGGATAAAATCTTTTGATTTAAAAAAAAAAAATCTTGAAAGACAAATAAAAAGTGGGTTAACTCTTCAAATAAACTTTATTTATAAAATTAAGAATTTAAAATTTAACTGATTCAAGATTTAGACTCACCGTTGTTGGAAGAACTAATTTTTTTTATGACATGCATTGTTTGCTATCATTGTTCGTCGTTTACTCATTATTTATATTTATCAATTTTTACCTAATTACCATTATACTCCAAACATGAAAATGCCTCGTTATTCAGAACAATAGCACATTTTCCACCCTCGCAAATCTTTAAATAAGAAAACATACAAAGCATGTAGAATAGTGAAAATCAGTAACTTGGGTCCATATGTACAGAAATAAAAGTCCCATCCCCCCTGTAATTTATGAGGAAAATAAAAAAAAGAGCTGCCCTGGGATATATTAAGGTTGAGAAAAGGGTCAAAGAACAGCAAATCTCTGTGTTTTGGAAATTATCAACTTATTGATTTCTGCAAATTTATTTCATTTTGATGAGAAACATGATTATAACTGAAATGTGAAAATGCAGTGTTAATATTTAATTCCGCAAAAAGTTTAAGGGCTGCAAGAAAAATACACCAAATTTCTGGATAAATTTCTGTATATATTATGAAAAAAAATATAAGAACTGCCTTGCACATGCTTGCAAACTGCCTCAGACATGCCTCTCTCTCATTGTCAATTACTATTTAAATATTAAATATTTACGCATTTTGCTTAGTTTCAGGGATAACCATGTACGTACGGGGCTCCACAATATATATATCTGTCTCTTGAATTGAATGAGTAGCCATTTTTCATTTATTTATTTATTTATTTTTCTTTTTATATATAGGGCTCCATACACACAACATGGATCTGTGAATAATTAATCTCAAATAATTCCACAATAACCTAAATCGTGCAAATCACTAGATTCAACAAAATAGATTGAATAAGAAAAAGGTTGCGTACCTGACATCGTTGTTGGGGCCTAACACAATTATATATATTCTGTCTCTTGAATTGAATGAGTAGGCCCATTTTCATTTAAATTTATTTAAATTTTATTTTCTTTTATTACTATAGGCTCCATACACACCAACATGGATCTGTGAATAAAATTAAATCTCAATAATTTCCACAATAACTAAAATCGTGGCAAAATCACTAGATTCAAAAAATAGATTGAATAAGAAAAAGGTTTGCGTACCCTGACAATCGTTGTTTTTGTCGATCTTGATGTGTAGGAATTAGGTTTATTAGGTTTGCAGCCTTCCAGAGAATTGAAGAATCGATTTAGCGGAAGCAGTACGAAAGGAACGTAAAACTGAATCGTATTCAACTCTTCTGGGGACCAGGACCTTTATATACCTGTAGGGTTAGTACAATTCCTATTTCAGTCCTTTAACGAAATAGAAATTATATAATGGTCTCTCCACTTAATATCTATAATTAGTTGACACCTCAATAGTCAATTATTCACAATCAAGACCACATTTGAAATTGACTTTACAATTGGACTGTTGTACATATTTAATTTTACATATTAAGCCCACAATTTTTACATATTAAGCCCACAATAAGAAAATTAAAAATGCCAACAATCTCCCACTTGGGCCGAACATATGTTAAATTATGTTAAATAAAATACATACACCAAAATGAGCTCAACAAACGCAGTCATACGAGGTATCCAAAAACAATCTCGTCCATTAATTATATTGATAAAGAGCTGAAGAAACATTCGCCATAGATCTTATGACTAAGTTCATCATCAACTACCTTACCAATACCCCTAAATGACACAGATTCATTATAGAAGTGTAGGATGAAAACTAAATGTAATGTGATCATCATGTTTGTTTCCAACTGGTCACCAACAAAAGTGAGATCAAGCAAAACAATAATAATACAGAGTGTAACCAACAATAATAATAATACAGAGTGTAACCATCAACCAAAATGAGTACTCAACAAAATTTCATGAAATTTCATAATAAAACATATCCAAAACAAAATAGAGCATTCAAAAAACATAACGTATACATAAAGAGCAAACTCCCACTAAAACTAGACAGTCTCAAACAAAACGATACCCATATGAGCGTTGTGCTCATGGAAAACTTTCGTTATCACTGCCTTTAAAACTTTCGGTATCACTGCCTTTGTAAGCGGATCCGCAATCATAGAGTTTGTTCCAATATGCTCTAAGGATATCTGTCCACTCTGTACCCTCTCCTTCGTAGCCAAGAACTTAATGTCAATGTGTTTTGATCGAGAAGAGCTCCTGTTGTTGTTGGAGAATAAAACGACTGACCTGCTGTCACAATACAACTTCAGTGGTCTTTCTATTCCACCTACTACACGCAGCCCAGTGACAAGGTTTCTCAACCAAATAGCTTGATTGGATGCCTCATAAGATGCTACAAATTCAGCTTCCATGGTGGAGGTTCATGGTGGAGGTTGCCACTAGAGTTTGTTTCACACTCTTCCAAGAAATAGCACCACCAGCCAATAGAAAAACATAGCCAGATGTGGATTTTCTTCTGTCTTGGCATCCAACGAAATCAGAATCAGTATATCCAGCGAAATCAGAATCAGTATACCCAATGATCTCAAGCTGATCTGATCTCCTATATGTGAGCATATGTCCCTTAGTCCTCTGAAGATATCTCATGGCTCTTTTGGCTGCTTTCCAATGATCCATTCCTAGATTGCTGAGATATCTACCTAACATGCCAACTATAAAAGAAATGTCTGGACGAGTACAAACTTTAACATACATAAGACTTCCTATAGCTGACGTATAAGGAACCTTTTGCATTTCCTAAATTTCAAGTTCACTCTTTGGACATTGTTGATTACTAAATTTATCACCTTTTGCAATAGGGGTATCCAATGGTCTTAAAGAATTCCTGCATACTAACATTCTTGAGCAACTTTAAATCCATATAAGCTCTTTTTGTTGATAATGCCAAGAATACCCTTCCCGAGAACGGTCTCTGGGGATGTATCTGAATCCCTAAAACAAAAGAAAGCGTGTGTACTAAATCTTTCCATCTCAAAAATGCTTTGAAAGAAAAACTTTGGTTTCATCAGCAGAGACGTATCTACAATTAAGTACCAAGAAGGTATGGTCATCCACATATAGACGCAAAAAAGATAAACCTAACTCCCTACTGAACATATGGTTACTACACATTTTTCAAACAGCATTTGGGCCTTCAAAGATTTGCCTCAAAGCCAAACGAGACAATTACTTAGTTGAACTTAAAGTACCATTGACGAGAAGCTCGCTTGAGTCCATAAATGGATTTCTTTAATTTGCATACCAGATGTTTTGGATCTCCAATTACAAAATTTTCTGGTTGCACCATATATATTGTTTCATCAATGTTGCCATTGAGAAACGTAGTCTTAACATCTATTTGATGAAGCTCAAGATCAAGATTTGCAACTAAGTCCATGATTGTCCTAAAAGAATCCTTCGAAGAAACTGGAGAGAAGGTTTCTTTATAGTCAGTCCCTTCCTTTTGAGTAAAGCCTTTTGCTACAAGACGTGCGTTATATCTTTCCACATTACCTTGAGAATCCCTTTTGGTTTTAAATATCCATTTGCAACCAATGGGTTTCATTTGCAACCAATGGGTTTCTTTCCTTCAGGTAATTGAACAAGATCCCAAACTTGATTGTCTTGCATAGACTTATACTCTTCGTTCATTGCCTCAATTCACTTATGAGAGTCAGAACTCTGCATAGCATGATAAAAACTAACTGGATCATCATCTATCATGTCTACAGTATCCTCATGTTCCTGAAGAAACACTATATAATCATCTGGAATAGCACTTCTTCTCTCCTTCACTTCTTCTCTCCCTAGTAGATCTCCTCAAAGGCATTTGAACAGACTCTAATTCTTGAGGTTGTTGAATTTGTTCTTAAGGAAGAATAGCATTGTCTGGAATTGGATCTTGAATAGTGACAGGAGCAACTGGAGTCTGTACGCTATCAGAAACAACAAAAGGAATGAGAACCGAATCATCCTTACTTGGTTCCTCTTTAAAGACAATGTTTCTTTCTTTATTTCTCCCTCCAAAATCAACATCCTCAAAAAATGTTGCAATTCTCGTTTCAAAAAAAAGTTCTGGAAGTAGGATTATAAAGGGAAATATAAACTTGTAACCCCTAGACCGCTCAGAATATCCAACAAAGTAGCTGGCGAATAGTTTTTGGAGTCCAAAACGTTTTGTTTTCATTCGGGCTTTATAAGGCCTTGTCGCTTGGAAACATCCCCAAACATGAAGATGCTTTAGACTAGGCTTACGTCGCCTGGTCCAGTCCAAAGTTCATAAGGTGTTTTAGGGCAACTGCTTTAGATGGAATCCCCTAATTGAAGAAGATAAAGCTGCTGTCTTAAACGCTTCACCCCACTACGAGCCCCTCTGGTAAAGTAAGAATGACTAATCATACTCCTTACCATATCCATAAGAGTCCTATTACGTCTCTCAGATACACCATTCATGCTGGGAGTACCAGGCATTGTATATTGAGGGACAATTCCACATTCCTGTAGGAAAAGCGAAAAGGTCCTGGACGTTGTTCGCCTGAACCGTCATATTTACCATAATA